CATGGCCACAGCTTGTGCCAACGAAGTCATGGATTCACGGCTTCGTAACAACACCATAAAGCCAAAACAGGGTCCTGAAGCATGAATCCTCATGGATCCTCGGGGTATTTGCAATGGGCACCCCAAACACACCATCTAATCACATAACATGTCCATGGCAACAGCTTGCACCACAAAAATCATATATCCACAGCTTTGTGGCAACACCATGCTGCAAAAACATGGTTCCGAAACACGGGTTCTCATGGATCCTCAGTGTTCTTGCATTGGGTCACCATGAACTCATCATCAAATCACATATCATGTCCACAGGCACAGCTTGAACCACAGAAATCATAGATCCACAGCTTTGTAGCAACACCATTCTGCAAAAACATGGTTCTGAAGCACAGACCCTCACGGATCCTTGGGGGTTTTGTACTGGGACACTCCAAACACATCATATAATCAAATAACATGTCCATGCCAACTGCTTGAACCACAAAAATCACAGATCCACAGCTTCGTGGCAACACCATTCTGCAAAAATGTGGTTCTGGAGCATGGATCCTCAAGGTTTTCATAATGGGTCACTCCAAACACACCATCAAATCACATAACATGTCTATGCCAACTGTTTAAACCGCAAAATTCATGGATCCACAGCTTCGTGGTGGCAACGTTCAGCAAAAACATCATTCTGGAGCATGGATTGTCATAGATGCTTGAGGTTTTTATGTTGGGACACCCCAAACTTACCATTAAATCCCATATCATGTCCATGGCCACTACTTCCACCACAGAATTCATGGATCCATGGCTTTGTTGCAATACCATGCTTCAAAACATGGTTCTGAAGCATGGATCCTCATGGATTCTTAGTGCTTCTACATTGGGTCACTATGAACTCAGCATCAAATCACATATCATGTCCATTGGCACAGCTTGCACTGCAAAAGTCATGCATACACAGCTTCAGAACCATCTTTTGGGCCCATGGTATTGCCATGAAGCTGTGGATTCATGATTTTTGTGGTTCAAGCTGTGCCTGTGAACATGATATGTGTTTTGATGATGAGTTCATGGTGACCCAATGCAAGAACACTGAGGATCCATGAGGGTCTGTGCTCCAGAAGCACGTTTTTGCAGAATTGTGTTAAAGAGCCCCTAACAAGACCTGGGGGAGCCAGAATGACCTCTCGTGTGTGATGGCCGAGCGGAACCATCACATGCGAGAGGTGGAATTTACCCCTAGGATTCCAAGGCCACCACCCCGGGGCTCAGAGAGGCGGGGGAACGGTTAGCCAAATTGCCTTGAATTATTAATTAGCCTAGGGGAAGTTATGATTATTAATTGGCAATAGGCAAATTAGGGTTCACACCAATGTATACAGAAGTCCCACCTTTGCTGTAAGCACCAGAACAGACACAGAGACTGTATTCAATTAAATATAATGTCTTTTTACTGGAGAATATATATATCATTCAAACAATACACAACCACACACACATTTATACATATGCTAAGAAATAAAGATAGATCCTTAACACAGTTGCTTTAGCAGGATATTCGTTGGTTGGGCAATATTTACCTGTCTTCATTAATTGAG